TTTTGCCTATATACAAGTGAATAAGATATTTAAGATATTACTATTATGTAATAAGACAGAAATTTAGCTTGTTTAGAAAGACCAAAGAAATATGAGTTTAACTAAAAAGATTACAGTCAGTCAGTCAGCTACAACGTAAGACCAGGCACATATATGCATCGGTCCAAGTCGCCATACCTCATTAGCGCAACAAGATGAACACCGGATTCTTATGTTAGAAAAGTCGTTAGAGGTTAATCATTAACTCTTTTTGAATACAATCGTAAGGATTAAATATTCTGATCCCTATGGCTCCTGCAAAATCTTAATAAGATGGGATTGAACTGTTTATTGATAAATTTGAGCGCGTTCATTGCGTTTATGTTATATCTCTTGTCTAGTAGGTAGCCTCATGTCAAATTAAAAAAGTTGTTTTATCCTCAAAGGTGTATATGTTAATAGGAATGAGTTCAGTAAAACGAATGGAAATCAGGATTTCTATCCTTCTGATGTAAATGTTTTGCCATGCACACGTGAATTGATAAAAATAATCAGACAGGATTTATAATGAACATTTGTCTCTTATTATTTATGTTACTGACCATAGTCTTGTATGTGGTGGAACCAGTTTTGGACTGATGAGTGTGCTTTTTAAAACTGTTTTTTGTCATTAATTTGATTCATAAATTGATCAACTTTGCAAACTTCTTCCTGTTATTTCGATATTCCGAGCTGCATTTCTTCATAAGTGCTTGAGAGCATCCATTTACTTATGGATGGTTATTTATTTCTGTATATTCCTCCTTGAGGTTTTCTGATGAATATAACTTTTTGACTCTGTGAGAGGATAATTTCTCTAATCTATATCTTTAGCATATATGTCACAATCTGTATAAATTTAAGCATTATCCACTGCAGTTTGATTTCCTACATGTTTACATTCGGTAAACTTCATTAAGATGGTGGAGAAGATTTGTAGCTCAGGTGGATGATTTTGGTGGAGTTTTGTTCTCTGAGTTGGATGGTTTGGTCGTGGAGCTTTCATCGTTCTTCTAAACGACATCCTCAGCACAAACTTCAGATAGACTTCCAGCTCAGAGAAAAAACTCCATCAAAAGGTAAAATTAATTATTTCTTCGAAAGGTAACTAAATCTCAAAAAAAAAAGATTAGAACACACCTTTTTCTTCATGTCTCATTGAAAACTTACTATTAAGATGTAATGTATTGAAGCTTTCAAGTATCTGACCTAAATTTATCGATTATTTGTCTAATCAATATCCGTTTAATAGATGTGACTGAACTATGGTACATAATTTTACATAACATGATTTGCAAAAATAGTCATGAATAAATCCCAATTTTTAATTGTATCCATTCTTTAGAAAATAATTTAACGAGGAAAGACACAATGGTGAAATTCATATTTGATGTTTAATCATATTTTTGATCTTCACAATGAAATTCATTAGTTTATCTAAACTAAGTCATCATTGAAAACCTGGAATCATTAGAAGTTTGTTTTATTCTAGTATGGGACTCCTCAGCAGTGAGCATCCACGATCCCACACACAGGACTCAAACCTATGACCTACGGTCTTATGCGTGAACGCTTAACCTCAAGACCTGATTTACCACATACAGATTTATATTACTTAACTTTGAGTCATATATTGTGTGAAGGCTAATTATTAATATCAACTGGATAACCAAAATTGAAGTAATTGAGAGCGTGATTGTAAATTCTTAACCTTTTAATGGAAAATCAAGTGTTTTGATCTAATAGTCAATGGACAAACTTTTAATTATCTCTTGGACTTTTATTCAGTCCACACATTGAATGTGAATACAAGGTATAGTTTTGTAGTAAGCCTAATAATATCAAATAATTCAGAGAAGATAGGGAAGTAGTTTTCAATTATACAATCTGATTGTGAATTTGGTATTATCTCTTTTAATTCTTATTTCACACCATTATTCATTTAGAGATTAGGTTTCATATTACATGTTTTTTTCTTTTAATAAGTAGTAATGGTAAAATGTACCTGAACAATATCCAATGTGACATTGAAATTTGTACAAACTACTACTACTATTGTTATTGTTGGGATGGCTTCCGAGAAGCCGGATGGAGCCTCTAGACGCCCTAAAGGAGACGAGGAGTTTTTACCTAGTTAGAACTAGATAGACATTTCTAGAATATCAATGTAACATGCTACGATTAGATGGTAGCATAACTTGCCTACTTGCTGATTGGCTGAATTATAATGATGCTATAGTTAACGCTAATATTTATAGATACCCATGATTTTTTTTTGCACATTTTTGATTCGTACCAAACAATCACTTGTCCTGCTTCTTTTTTCTTCTTATTTGAGACTGTGAGGTTCTATACGTTCGGGTGTCATTAGTTGTATATCGTATTCCGTATAACAGAGTAACGGTTATCTCTATTTACTTAGTAACCTTTATAAAGTTTTCTCGACTATATAATCGATATCAGTAAATAGATCAAAGAAACTTGTTTGGTTTTATAAATGTAGTTTACAGTATTTTACAGACAATATTCTCATTGTTTATGAAGTCACAATGTAATTTTCACGAAACTAACTCGTTTTGAAATTTTACTAAGAGAAATTAAAATTTTAAATTATGTAAACAATACAGCACATGGCTCAAAATCGTTTACAATGGTGCAGATGTATCCACTCTTTGTGATCTGCCAAATTCTAATCTTCCGAATTCTTTATGTCCCTACTTTTTTCTCATTCCAACCTTATTTCACTGGATTATACTCTTTTGAATAACATCTTCAAACCCTAATCTTTCCGATTACTGCTTATACTCTTGCCACCTCTACTAATATGGGATTTGAATCGACAACTGCATCTCTGCGTTAATGTGGTATGGCAACTCAAACTGATGTACGTACGTAAGAAGTTTCACTTTGTTACTGACTGACTGAGAGCACATGATATACGCCGATATTATTCAGTATAATCAGGAGTAGAAGAAGAATAACATGGAAGAATAGGAAATTTGAATGATAGATATTGATTTATGAGATAACAATTATGATTTCATTAATACAAATTGAATAGAACCTTTTGTTTACTACATATAACTAGATCTGTATTTTTGTTCAGTTTATGAAAAAGAGGAAATCGTTTTTCTTTCTTCTTTTTAATTGATTTACTTTTATATACTATTGTCATTGATAAATGAATTGGAGAAAATTACCATTTTCTCATTATAACACCTAATACAATGTCACTGGACTAGTGTTGACAATTGTCTTGTAAGTAATAAAGCCAATTTTAACTTTCGTTTTGATTACTTTCGAAGCTAATCTCAATTGCTTGTTTGTTCATGTGCCCTTCCATTTTCCAGTTTCTTTTTAATGTTTCATATTATGAATGTATCACTTAAATCCTTTCCATATTATTTATAGTAATGTGTATAGTTTGTAAAACCTTTCAATGTTTATAAGATTTACGGGTTTTTTGTTGATAGATGACAACGGATAATGAGATTATTTACTTGAAAACATCTGTTTTCAGAATTATATATGCATATATGTATTTGTGTATATTCACTGAAATAGTGAACTGACCAGTATTAGACCAACATTGAAAAGCTGAATGCGTTGGATGGAAATTTTATCCTAGTATGAAACTCCACAGCAGTGCGCATCCGTAACCCTACATGCGGAAATCAAACCCAGTACCATCGGTCATGCGGAAAACACTTAATCTTTAGATCACTGAATCGGCTTCCATCGGGGTTAGTGTTTATCTTTAATCAATTTACGATAGTGCACAACCATTTTCCATTCTCTACAATGGGAAGTTGCCACACACCCAACACGGTTGAACTTCACTGGTCACAGCTTCTCACTATAACTTCGAGAATTATCTCTGGAAGTCAGTCATTAGTGGGCACAAGATTATTATCAGTAAGAGGTTGTGGAAGTTGTTGAGTTTCAACCTGCGTGCATAATCGCGGATGCGAGGAATCCCATACAATGGCAAAACGGCCATCCAATCCATCCAAGTTTTCCATGATCTTCTAACATTTGGCCGGTCAATGATTTCAGTAAAATTCAAAAATCTTCACAACTCTATACCAATATACATATAATTTTTGCTAAAAATGTTTCCACTTAACGCTTGACTACACAATGAATATGTCTTTATGTTTACAATTCTTTTCCCACTCTACTTTTCAACAAAAAAAAATCCCCAGAAGTATTTATACTAGTTAGAATTATTTTTCGGTTTATTAATGAAGCAGATAAAACATTAAACTAACTAACTGACAAACAAACAGTTGCCTGTACATCAATTTAGATAAAGTTTAAACAGGAAACTTAAATAAATAAAAAGAGAGGTACATTGGAATATGAACACTAACCAGTTGAAGTGTTGTCTGTTAAATATTCCATGTCATGTTATACACGATTATTTTTGTTTTACTGAACTAATGATTCTAGTAAATAGTTAATTATAAAAATGTAACATTTTAAAAAAATGCAGGGAAATGAAAAGATTGTTCCTATTCTGGACTGATTCTGGTTAAGTAATCATTGAAATCAGAATGAAATTCATCAGTAGTATACATTCAAGACCCTACTGTGAACAATGGGGTTTAATCATGTTGAACATAAATACAAATTTCACTAAAAGCCATGGATAATATTTGCGTAATATTTAGCGAAGTTAGATAACATAAACTATTGATTTCCACCAACTCGTTAATCTAAATGTTAAGTGTATGCTGATAGTCTTGAAGGTTGGAGACTCAACCTTTAGTGATATGGTAGATGAGTATCACTAAGGTGTTATATAGCTGTTCAGTACTTTTTGAACTTGAAGTGTTGTCTAATTGAATTCTGGGCATATGATAAATAGTTGTCAATGTCAAGTTTCCTTAGTCCTTTCTTACTGATCGAATTCGATTGATCAAGCTGAAATGTGGAAACAAGTCCAGCTCATTGATAACGTTTATAACTGTGAATCTATGTGATGCAGAGTTTGAATTACAAAGTGAATGTCAACCCTCTCAACACCCCAGGTTATATTCTATCATTAAGTGTCAACTGATACATAATCTATGCTTAAGCTTTTAAGCTGACTACATTCGACGCTCAAACAACTATTCACTATTATGAACTAGAGCAAAACAGAGATGTCACTCCCTCCTCCTAGTTTTCATCAGTTCTCGATCTAATAACTGTCAACAATGGGAAGAAACGGCCATCCACTGCTTCTAGGTTTTCCATGATGGCCTAGGTTCAACTCTCAGAGACCTTATTTATTATTACTTGACAACAAATAACTTCATTTCACACTCATATATATATATTGATATAGATATTAATAATGAGAGATTCAGTCACGAACCTAATGGGTCAGTAGTAGTTCGGATCCTGAAATTGAGTCACATGCGTTCGCAATCTATATGGAGTATCAGTGGTGTCAAGATTATAGATACGTTTTTATTAGTGAACATCATCTATCAAGAAACAAATTATTGTCTAGGATATCCTATCTACTAACTTCAATGTATGAACATATTGGAAGATTCATATGTAAATGGAAGTTTAAATCTATAATACTGATTTAATTGTTTACATTTCTCATATTTTGGAAATATGAGTATACATGCATAATAGCCAATCATAGAGTAAATAGACTGTTAATAGCTAACAATGTGTTAATACTTCATAACAGACAATACAGAATCATATTGACAAGATGTTGGAATGACATTATACTTTGTTATCCGTATCAAATAGCTGATAAATCTAAAGTTTTTTTTTTAAAACGAATTAACGTCACGTTTCTGTGTTTGCTTGTCTACAGATATCGTTTTGTACTGGTTAGCTTTAGTAACCTGTGAAAATGTCTAAAACAGTAAAAGAGGGATTTGTTGTTTAACCATATTCTATGTCAAATTCTAGATTTAAATAATTCAAGTAGATTCATAGAATATTCAAGATATATGTGAGTTTGTATATTCCTAGTTTATTTGGAAATCATTCTTAAATGATTGAAAGACTGTAGTTTGACTTATTACTATGTTGATATTGTACTAAGTATTGATTGAATTCTATCAAATAAGTTGTAACTTGATTTCTGGTCAGGGTGAATCGATATGGCCATATTTCAAGCTTTGACGTTTCGTATTTAGAGTCAAGTAATACAAAACTTTAAACACAAGTGTATGATTATCAGTACCAGTAAGCAATGTATATTTACAATCTTCAGAGAACATATTCTTATGGTGGAATCTGAGCCCTGGAGTTAGACTGTGAAACTGAGTGACACTAGCTTGAATCTCACAATGAGTTTCAGCTTGTCCAAGATGATAAGTATACCTTGCTGTCGATCACTAACTAGTGAGAAACCTAAGTCAAGTAGGATGTTCTTCCTACTAATTTCAGCCATCTAGGAAGCCTGACATCATAGTCAGAATTAGAATATGGCAAATATGGTGTCACTTACCATTTAGTAATCAATCAAAGTACATATTTCAGTTCTATAAAAGATCTGTCTCACTTTCAATAACTTAGAGGTATTAGTTGTAACAATAAATGACCATGTTTGGATCCAGAACAAGGGCATCCATCCTCTTAAGATGGCCAATACCTCTTGATGATAAAATTCAATTTATAGAAAAGCTGCATTCATGACTTCCTACCGACTCTCCCTAATCACTAAACATAAACTCTAACTGCATGCAATTTTAGCAAAGTAGTAAAAAAATTTCTGTTTTTGAAAATAGATCGAGATAGGTCGTTCCATAGCAATTCATAATCAACATTATATCTATCCACGTGATAAGATTTCCAGCTTAGATAAATGCTACTGATGATTATACTTTTACAGACCAGGATGATGTGATTGCCAATGGGACCATCAGTGCTTAATTCAAGTGGAACTATGCTTTCCAAAGTTCATCAGTAGATAATTAACCTGCCTGTCCTGATGGTCTTGTTTGTAGTTTTATACAAGATACTAGTTTCATTTGGACCATAACTGAAAACTAAGAAGCTCTGGGTGACTATTTCGTCATAGTTTAGGTCTCCTCAGCAATTCGTATTCATGATTCAATAGTGGGTGACCACAATCGAATCTCACTAAAACTAGACATTAAGGCCATTTAATGTCACCTCAGCAGTCAGTAGATTAAACTTCCATCACAAGACCCAGAGAATCCAACTGTGGAACCCAGTGGGGTTGTGAATGCTTACTTTCAAAGAGTCGCATGCTAGGACGAAATAACTATCTAGTGCTTCATGGTCATCAAAGGTTGTTTAATTATAATTATTCCATGATATAATATTTCAAACTTTAAAAACCCATACAACTCTTCTTTACTGAAAGATCTGTCAATCATTGATTCAATATAATATATATTAATAATTATTATAAATAAAATCTATTCTACTCACTTTGATAATTTCAACCATTTCATGCTTTTCAATAGTTCCATTACCATTAATATCATACATTTGAAATGCCCATTCAAGTTTCTCTTCTGGTTTACCACCTGATGTAATATTAATTGCTAATAGAAATTCTTTAAAATCAATTTTTCCAGAATTATCTTTATCGAATGTTCGAAATACATGTGTACAAAATTCTTCAGCATCACCATCAGGGAAAAATCCAGAATACACTTCAATAAATTTCTTTTTACTTAATTGACCAGAAGGACAATCTCTCTACAAATAATAATAATAATAATAGTAATATAATTATGTGCTATTCATATCGACATAAGTAGTATATAACGTTAGTTAGGAATAGAATGTCTAACAGCAGAAGTTTGAAAAGATCGTGAAGAGAAGAATGGGAACAGAAAGCAATGGGTATGGAAATGTAGGAGCAATGAAGTATGAAACAATTAATGAACATTTTGGAAATGAAGTATTGGTGTATAAGTTTTATATTTTATGAAGTAACTCTGTAATTTTGTACTAAATATAATCTGTTGTCCTCATCTGTGCTCATCTTCACGTCAGTCAGTCAGTAACAACGTAGAACTTCGTACGTATGTGCATCATACCACATTAGCTCGGAGATGCAGTTGTCGATTCAAATCTCATAGTGGTAAAGGTAGTAAAATTATAAATAAATGGTTTAATTATATCATTTATGCTGAACTCTAATTAACTTTGAACGGTTTCATTTTTCAATCATTATCAAACTAAAATAATCGTAACATCTGATGTATAATATAATTTTGAGCAATGCTTGTGTAAGTATTGAGTTCCGCATTGACTATGACTAATTAATAGAATAATAAATACACTTCTTCTTTCACAATTGATTGATCACTGGGTGGTGATCAATCTCATGCTTGTCTAGTCCTTAATAGTGCAGATCGAATGCTATCGATCACGGCTCGGATAGCTCAGTGGTAACGTCTCTGACTGTGAAGCTGGGTGACACGAGATCGAATCCGCCAGGGAGCACCAGTTCCCTCAAGATTACAGGTACACCTTGCTGACGAGTGCCAAGTAGCACGAAACCCGGGTCCAGGGTTTCCTGTTCACTACCTCCAACCACCATCTAACACTTCTTTATCAACATCCATTTTACGAATCATAAATTATGTACAATATAAATAGAATATAACAATTTAAAAATGATATATTGTGGCGTATACTACTGATGTTAATAAATATAAGTAGTATGTAGCATCAATAGAAAACGAAATACCTGGCAGTAGAAGGTTAAGAAGATTGAAGACAAGAGAATAAGAACATAGAGTAATTGATGCGGAAAAGAAGAATCAGTCAAATCTGAGACGACTGATCGATATTTACAAAAGGAATAGTCAAGTTTGAGACAACTGTTTAACATTTTGCAAATTAAGTTTTTGCTGTATGGATCCCAGATTTTATTAAAACGTTTTGTAAGTTTGTATTGAACTACATTCTATTGTCCTCACTTGTATTCACGTTCACTTCAATATCCTTGAACACCATAGACAACATGATACTAGATCAATTTCAAATTTTATGTTACAATAGAATTAAACTAAACACTATGCACTTTAAGTTGACTGATTCTAATTCATTTTTTTAATATAATTTAATAGTTGAATTCATAAGTCAATTAAAGTTAGACCGCCATGAAAATCTTCGAAGCCCTGAATAACCGTTTCGTCCTATTGTAGGACTCCTCAGCCGTACGCATCCATTCATCGGTGTTAATGGCTAACTTCAACTGATTCACGAAATTGCGTCACCATACACCATTGATCTAGTTTTAATTGACTCATGATCTCAACTATTAAATTACTATAATATCGACAAAAGCCCCTTTCTGATTAAAACCATAATAGATAAACAAACGATATATATGTATTTGTAGTAAAACATATTAGTTAATGTGGATTCGAATCATACAACCGGGTACAATTTCGTCTAAGATTATATAGATACTATGTCAGTAAGGGTTGATTAACATCAAAACCTAATTTCTGGATCTTTTTAAAAACTTAACTATCAACCATATTCATCTAATATAAGTAACCTTTAAGTTTATGGTGCTCAGGTTATAACAAAACAAAGTTATAGTTAAGCTAATTAAATTGTTCCTTATTAATGATAATCTCAGTATTCCTATTGTTTATGTGTTGTTAATTACAATGAGTGATAAAAATTGAAAATCTGTTGGAAACCATTTTGTGCTGAAAAGCTGTTTCGTTATAGTTTGGTAGTCATCATTAGTAATAGGAACATATTAAACTAAACAACAATAAACTAAACAATTGAGTTGGTTTACATTATCATGATTGGTAATTTTGAGGTAAGTTTTGGCTTATTGTTTTATTCTTGATCAAGCGGCATCATTGATGAACACGGTGGATCTAATGCAGATGTGAAGGCGCGGATCTAGAACTCAAAACAACTGTCAACCAACACCAAAGTCAGAATTTTCAATACAAATGTCAAGACAGTTCTACTGTATGGGGTGGGAACTTATACCACTACAAAAGCCATAATCCAGAAGATACAATTGTTCATTAACAATTGTCTACACAAAATTCTTGGGATCCGTTGGCCAGACACTATCAGGGACAACCTATTGTGGGAGACAACAAATCAGATCCCAGCGGAGGAAGAAGTCAGGAAGAAGCGATGGAAGTGGATAAGACACACATTGAGGAAATCACCCAACTACACCACAAGGCAAGCCCTGACTTAGAATTCCCAAGGTCAAAGGAGGAGAGGAATACCAAAGGTCACATTACACCGAGAAATGGAGACAGACATGAGAAGAATGAACAACAATTCATTATATGTGAAAATTATATTTGAAATATTCTCAGCGATTGAAATATAACTAATTCCAACGTTTCGTCCAGCTAACTTGTCTGGACTTCTTCAGGGTAATAATCAAAATCAAAATTATCAACCGGAAATAGAATGGAAGGCCCAGAACAGAGTGCGTTGGAGAATTCTGGTTGGCGGCCTATGCTGCATTGGGAGTAACAGGCGTAAGTAAGTGAGTATGGTTCACTGATTTTACTAAGACGTTCTGTAACTTCATGTTCAACTACATTCGGATGTCCCCATTCGTGTTCTTGTTCATTACATCAATAAGTAAGAGTACTCAGATAAATTCTAATACAGAAGAGTATGATGAAATCACTGTGTAAGTGAAGTCAAATTGTTAAGCACTATAGACTTAATTTTATACATGCAATCAAATGAGTATGTTTATGTTTTTTTTCTTTGCGGTAAAACATAATTTAAAAAATGGAATACAATTCCAGAATGAGACATTAGTGCCATGTTGCAGAGATTTGACAATGATTCTATATTCTTCACGAGTTTATATCGTGGATTGATCTTCGATAGATAAGCATTGAAAATCAAAAAGAACTGAAAAGCTATTTCGTTCTGTTATGGAATTCCTTATCTGTGTACATCCAAGAAAAACCCTGAGTTGAGTTTGAAAGTCCTAGGTTCAACCCCTAACATGTAGAGTTATTAATACAAATTGCTGAGGAGTGACATATCATAACGAAATATTGTCCATTTCCCTTTGGTTTTTAATGGCCGTTCACTGGAGATAGATCTGTGATGTTAAACTGGGAAAAATCTAACCTCTTTTATAAATGATCCTGTATTTATTTGAAATAAACATTGATAATGTAACTAAAAATTGGTAACATTCATAGAGAAGTTTTCCAGAGTGAGTTAAACAAAGTTTCATCCACTATTGTACAATATATAGGCTTTAACTATAGTTAACGGTTTGTTTTCTTAAGCTTATTTATTGTGATTGCCTTCCTCGTTGTCCTAATTCATGACTAAATGGTCATTTTTAGTTGTGTTTTTTTAACTGGGTGAAAAATGGAATCGATATCGGCATATTTATTAATCGCTGATTTATCTAAGTTCCAAACTTCTATAAATTCTCTGGTATTATTTATATTCCCTCTGTCCGAGATTTCAATATTTCACCAGCCAAATATGTGTGTACAATTATATACATAGATTGATATAAGTGAAAATATACCAGCTTTCTTCCATCTAAGGTTTATACTAATAAATAAAAATGAAAGCTTCATTATTAAGCCATCCAGCTGAAAAGAATTCAGCTCTACCGGGATCATTATTATGAGCTACAAATTTTCGCCAACATCCCAATGTGTTTGATGAACTGTACATTATTTACTGATCTATGATTCTCAATTTATTATTATGTTATGTGAGATAGTAACTCAGTGATGACAATGGTGGATGTGTCACTGAAGTTCGTGGATCAATTGAAGCTAGACATTAACACCGTTGGATGCCGGCCAGCTAAGTGGTTTAGTGGTTAAGTGTTCGCGCGCGAGACCGATAGGTCCTGGGTTAGAATCCCTCGAGGCGGGGTCGTTGATGCTCACTGCTAAGGAGTCCTACAATAGGACGAAACGGCCATCCAGTGCTTTCCGGTTTTCCATGATGATCTATTTTCAACAACACTAGTGAGCTAATTATTACAATTAAACTGAAGTTCTGTTGTAATGAATGTTGTATACAAACTAAACCAATCTCTATAGAATCCTTTTAAATAAACTGTTCACAAGACTGATCATAAGTAGTACGTATGCCTCAAAGCCGGCACAGTCATCAGACGGAGAGAAAACTTTCTGAATCTAGAAAACTCAGCATAAGCAGAACACTTACGAACCAGAAGAGAAGACATTTCGCATTTCAGAAAACACCCTAAGATTCAAATGAATAACCGAAGATACTATATAAACACTGTAGTTTTTCATGGTAGAGATTGAGTCCTTCTATCATAAATCCTATGGAAAAGTAACTATTCTTATGAAACTCCGCCAGAAGTCCCTCCGGGGGCTACTGCCGGTTCCAAGCTCGGATAAAGGAGGAGGGTTGGGCATAGGGTTAGCGACCCCATCCCGTAGAAAACTAACTCGCCAAGAAAGAACGCTAACCAAAAAAATAACTATTATTTTAAAAATAGAAATTAGTTATGACACAAAAAAGAGCACTCAATACTTATCATTGTCTCTTTGCTTAAAAAGCTTGTGACTTAAGGCTATATTGAGGCAATCTGCACAGGATGCACATATGCCAACATGAGACTGATAAATTACAGTCCTAAATAACAATAGAAAGATAAAAGTAAAACAACATCAAGTGAATTTAGTTGTTTACTGCATACATTTTCGTGGATAGTTGACTAATGTATA